TAAGTGATACATCACACAAAAAAGTGATACATCACAAAAGGAAATGATACATCACATAACCAAGTGATACATCACAAAAAAGTGATATATCACAATAGGAAATGATACATCACATAACCAAGTGATACCTCACAAAAAAGTGATATATCACAAAAGGAAATGATACATCACATAACCAAGTGATACATCACAAAAGGAAATGATACATCACATAACCAAGTGATACATCACAAAAAAGTGATACATCACAAAAGGAAATGATACATCACATAACCAAGTGATACATCACAAAAAAAAGTGGTACATCACAAAATGAGGTGATACATCACAAAACCAACAATAAATTACAAAAAGAAATGATGCATCACAAAACCAAACTTCACTAACAAGGTTCATGTGCACGACTATACCTCTTCAACCGCCTCACCCTCTTTGGATTTCAGTTTACTTCATAAGCAGCGGGGCCCCTAGTATAATTTTTTCAGTTGAATAGGGTTTCTAGGATTTGTATGTTGGGAATTTCTCATCCCAGTAGTGACACTTTGCGCCACCAGACGTTAATCGCTCACTGGGGGGCTTCAAATTCCCTCACTCACGTGACCATAAAGACCCACTTCTTCTTCAGCAATCATCACTTGCTTTACATGTATGTATGCCAGGGTTACAATCAGAATATGCCAGATTCAAAGACACAGTCAAGTGGGTAGAGATTAGTCATGTAGACACCATGAATTACTAAGAAAACTAACTTTTTTTTTGCCTTTAGTTGTGTTGGGCATATAGGGCTAGATGTATATTCTATAAACCAATCCGCACTCATGAGGGATGTGGTCAAGATCTAGCCTGCTGTCTTTACTTCTCAGGAATACACCTGGTACCCAATAAAGGCCTGGCTGCCTGTGAGTCAAGGTCATTTAAACAAAAACAAAAAAGTCCAGTTTTATGAGGACCCAAACCCATGACCTTCCGGTCCGCAGGCAAGTGTCTAGCCGCTATACCATGGCAGCTCCTTAATTACTATGAAAGAGCAGCCCCCTGTAAAATTAAAGTAAAGGCTGCAGGAGATCTACCATGGTTTTTATAAGGCCTATAAAACCTATCATGGTATTCATAAAGCCAATAAAACCTATCATGACATTCATAAAGCCTATAAAACCTATCATGGTATTCATAAAGCCAATAAAACCTATCATGGTATTCATAAAGCTTATAAAACATATCATGGTTTTCATAGCTTTCTACCTCTGTGATACATCTTCCATTTGGTACAGATCATGAGAACATTGTACCATGGAATCTTCAGCATGTTGTGCCATCATAGGTCGCATGAGGCTCAAAGTCTGATTATCCAATCCAATTTATTATGGGCAATAGTTTTAATGTCATGGATGGAATCTACACCAGCACCCTGGGCATCTCTCAGCAGCGTTTGTCTTAGGGTTTGTCTTAGTTGTGATCATTTCCTTCCCATTTCAGTGCCTGTTTAGTGATTCTCTATCCACTTCTCCTCATGATATACCAGACATGTCGCTGTCTTCATTTTTCTTTAACTGTCGATGTCAGTCAGATTCTAGAAGTAAAATCATGGCTTCATTTTGCTCCATTCATTGAAACATGGTTGTTTCCATTGCATCTCCTTTGTCGTCGGATAACAAATGATCATGAGCTTGCTTCTGTGCTCACAATTATTTCACCTGGTGGCTCATATGACTAACATAAATTATGATTAGCAGACTGTGTGATATTAGCAGCACATGGTTTTTAAACCAAAAAAAAGGTGGAGTTTACATCAGAAAGTGTTTGTTACAATAGCGCTGAAATAAAATTATATCTGAAAATGGTGCCAGTATTGTGTACTGCACCACAAGGGAGAAGAAAATAACCAGATGGATAGCAGTATAGGAATATGACAGACACTGCTCCTGCGCAGCGAAGTATTAGACCTTCACATATTTTATCTGAGAGCATGAGAAGCTGGTTTGGCTGGATGTTTCCTTTGCCCCCTTCCTTCTCTGATAATACCAAGCTATTTCAAAATTTATCTGGTACCCATTTCACAAGGTTGACTTCAAGTGGCGTTGAATCTGGTCAACTATCTTGGCATGAATCCATGATGAGAGTACAGCTATCATTGTGACCACAAACAACAAATAGTTCCAAAGCATTTCTAAGAAAATTCGAAACAGAATAAACAAACACACGTGCACAAGCGCACATGTGGGCATGCACACGTTTGCGTGCACACACACACACACGCACGCACGTACACACAAAAGAAAAAACATTTTTAAAAAACAAAAGAGAAATAGACCTTTGGAACATAAGTGTCAATCGTTTAAATCTAGATAACTGTTATTGAAATACATCATGAATATTTCTGTTCGAAAATGTGTGGAAGGAGGTAAGGCAGCTTTCAGGTGTTGCTTTCATTTAGCATCTTTAGCGATACTTTCAGTTCAGCCATGAATTGCTTCAAAGGCAATTTTAAATGAGACAAAACAGTTTTTAGCTAATACTTGATGTATCTGATCAATATTTCGAAAATTTGCATTAATAATTAACATCTTGCATCAGTCAATATGTTACAAACTTTAACAACTTTTTCACATAGATCATTATTATTTTATCAACATTTCCCATAGTTCATCATTAATATATTAGATCTTGCATTGGTATTATAAAATCTTACATCAAAGTTGCACACAAAATCCCATTATTCAATCACAACCTTACATAGTTCATTGATGTTTTATATATTTCATAAAATTTTTACAATTTTTCACTCATATTTCCCATAGCTCTCTATACTTTTCACACAGTTTATCAACATTCCACATTGTTTCCTAATATTTTACAATTTAACACTGATAAATCACATAATTCATAAACATTACACATTTTTTCCTATTATTTTACAATTTTACACTGATAAATCACATAATTCATCAACATTCCACATCTGTTCCTACTATTTTACAATTTAACACTGATAAATCACATAATTCATAAACATTACACATTTTTCCGACTATTTTACACTAATATATCACATAATTCATCACTATTCTACATCTTTCAGCATTGTGTTCCATTATGTCTATTTAAATAAATTCACCATTCTCTCACATGAACCACACTAATATTTAGTACTGTGTCAACATTTGCAGTTCTCTGGCTTAGATGTTAGTGAAATGAATTAACAGTGTTCAATTCCTGTGATTGGCAGTTTAGAAACAGACCATTCCCATAGCTTTCAGATAGTGGTATGAGAGTTGCACCATGGAAAACAGTGAGGCTTCAAACCATAATATTCCAATAGTTATCCGTGGATACATTGCAGTTAGCCTTCATTGTGGAGATAGCACAATTTTTACTTTTATTTTTGCAAATATTTGACTTCTGTAATCAATTTTTGGTGGCATCTGTAGCTTAGGGGTTGCAATTATGTAATGCTGGGGTGTCAAGTTCAATCCCAGCTGTGGACGGTTTGTCTTGCATTGGTTTTGACAGTAGCACTGAGAGCTGACCGTTAGGTAAGCAATGGCAAACCCCCAAATGTCTACTCTTCTTCTTTGTGTTCACCAGCTGTAAACACTGGCGGAAAGTTATGGTTGTTCATCCACTTTTGAACTGCAGTCCTATTCCAAAACCTGAGTGTTGCTTGTGCATCCAATTTACAGATCTGACTCATTTGTATGCAGACTGCTGGTTCCTTGTCTCTCAGGCAGATGCACTCCTACTTCGAAGGAAGTTCCCAATTAGTCAAATCTTACGACATGCTTTTGGGTAGACAGTTGGTCTATTCTTGTTTTCCCTATAACAGGGCACCGGAATCCCAACAGGGAACTACCAAATGTAAAATTTGCCTAGAAAAAGAACAACAGCCAAACAATGCTGGGGTTGGTTCTGCAACGCCTGTAAAAGGATCTTTTACACTCCCTGTGTGGGTTCCAGGGCTCAGTTTTAGAGGGAAAAAGAGAGTGAACCCACCCCATCCCCTTAAACAAACATGCAGTAGGAGGTTTCTAATTAGGGTGTTCCTTTAAAGTCAGGGTTTTTTCGCAATAACCTTAAACAGGTTAAATCCACAGGTCACGGGACAGTCCAAGATATTAGGGGTGGTAGATAGGCTGCAGGCAGTTGTAGGACCTAAGCTGCACTCTCACGTGGGATGTAGCTGGGTTGGGGTTAGGCCCAGTTATAGATGTTCTGGTTTTCATTAGAAAGCCAGAAAATCTGGTCTTACCAGACTCTAAATATTGGACTGTCCTGTGACATCATATGGGGTAGGAAAATACGAAAGAACCAAAGTCAGAATACATCTGCCTGAGAGGCAAGGAACCAGCAGTCTGCAGACAGATAAACCACATCTGTAAAATGGATGTGCATGCATAAACTCAAGTTCTGGGCCAAGACCTAGGTCCAGTAGTAGATGAACAACCAGAATTTTCCAATAGAGTTTACAACAGATGAAAGTAAAAACGAGAAGAGGTTTTACACCTATCACCACTATTTTCATATTTCCAAAACTTTTTACAATGGTTCACACATTTGTTTCAATGATTCCCTAATGTGTTACAAAGGTTCACTAATGTGTTACAATGGTTCATTGATTCATTACAGTGATTGACTAATTTGTTACAGTGGTTCACTGATTTGTTACATTGGTTCACTGATTTGTTACAGTGGTTCACTGATGTGTTACAGTGGTTCATTGATTTGTTACAGTGGTTCATTGATTTGTTACAATGGTTCACTGATTTGTTACAATGGTTCACTGATTTGTTACAATGGTTTACTGATTTGTTACAAAGGTTCACTGATTTGTTACGGGTTGTTCACTGAATTGTTACAGTGGTTCACTGATTTGTTACAGTGGTTCACTAATCTGTTACAGTGGTTCACTAATTTATCACAATGTTTCACTAATTTATCACAGTGGTTCACTAATTTGTTTGAATGGTTCACTAATTTCTCACAATGGTTAACTAATGTGTAACATCATTCACCAATAGTTCACAGTCATTCCATATTGTTCTCCACTGATGGGCTATGATAAAATATTTCAGGTGATACATTGTCTTATACGAAACAGTATTTTGCATACAAAACAGTATTTTGCATACAAAACAGTATTTTGCATACAAAACAGTATTTTGCATACAAAACAGTATTTTGCATACAAAACAGTATTTTGCATACAAAACAGTATTTTGCATACGGATGGATTTTTTTTTTTCAAGCTGAAAATCATTGCCTTAAATTTTAAAAATTACATTTAATTAGTATCACATGTAAAAGAACGCTTCATTGGCATACTGGCGAGCTCTCATTGTAGCACTAGGCATATCATCATCATCATCTGTGCCAGCAGCCCGTCCCACAGGCTGACCAAATCCAGAACTGACTAAATGCACAAATTTACATTTCAGCTTCAGATCTCGAATGAATGTTTCTTCCCTGGTCCTGACCACACTCAAAGCATGCTGCGGCAGTGACATGGACATGACTTCATCATGGTTGTTTGCCACCTGTGAAGAAAAAATAATTTCAAACATTTCAAAACACAAATGACGACAGATTCTTCTGTAAGAACAAGTGACATGTGGGACTCTGGTTTCCAGAAATAAATCACATTCAGAAACATTCCTCCTGCTATACATGTATGCACTCATGCACACGACCACACACACACACATACACACAAACACACATGCTTGATAATTCCAGGGCGCCAGGTTTGATTCGTGCTGCAGGCGACTTGGTAGCAGACAGTTGTGTACTAATTTTGACAGTGGTATCAAGAGCCGACCATCAGAAAGCAATGGCAAACTACTGAATGTAAAACTGCCAAGTGCAATCACAAAGAGAGAGAAAAATAGCTGTGGTTGATTTTGCAGCAAATGATATGTATGTTGTGTGGGCCAGTTTGTGTCTGTGTGTGTGTCTGTGAGTGTGTATCTGTGTGTATGAGCCATAGCTGAATTCATCCCACAGACAAAGAAGCATCTCTTGCATCACAGAGTACACTGCAACTGTGATACAGTTCTGGTTGGTTATGCAGCTGCGCTCCTGCGGCTTGACCAGTGGTTCTCAACCGTCCTAATGCTGCGCCCCATTAATACAGTTCCTCATGTTGTGGCAACCCTTTAATACAGTTCCTCATGTTGTGGCAACCCTTTAATACAGTTCCTCATGTTGTGGCAATCCTTTAATACAGTTCCTCATGTTGTGGCAATCCTTTAATACAGTTCCTCATGTTGTGGCAACCCTTTAATACAGTTCCTCATGTTGTGGCAACCCTTTAATACAGTTCCTCATGTTGTGGCAACCCATTAACACAGTTCCTCATGTTGTGGCAACTCTTTAATACAGTTCCTCATGTTGTGGCAACCCTTTAATACAGTTCCTCATGTTGTGGCGACCCTTTAATACAGTTCCTCATGTTGTGGCAACCCTTTAATACAGTTCCTCATGTTGTGGCAATCCTTTAATACAGTTCCTCATGTTGTGGCAACCCTTTAATACAGTTCCTCATGTTGTGGCAACCCTTTAATACAGTTCCTCATGTTGTGGCAATCCTTTAATACAGTTCCTCATGTTGTGGCAACCCTTTAACACAGTTCCTCATGTTGTGGCAACCCTTTAACACAGTTCCTCATGTTGTGACGACCCCCAAGCAAACAATTATTTTCGTTGCTACTTCATAACTTCAATCAATAAGTGTTTTCCGATGGTCTTAGGCAAAAGGGTTGTCTAACACACAAAAAGGTCATGACCCACAGGTTGAGAACCATTGCGCTAGGTACTCATCTGCTGGCTCAAAGTCTTGGTTAAATATTGGAGGAACTGATCTTGGCTCCTCCCCTTCCCCTCGCAGGTGTCAGGGGTTAATTTTGACAAAACAAAGAATGAACCCACTGCCATCCTGTAAAAAAGCATGTTGGAGGCAACTGTTCGAGGGCTGTTTCCTTCAAAGTCAGAGTGCATCTGCCTGAGAGGCAAAGAACCAACAGTCTGCATATATACAAGCCAGATCTGTAAAACAGATACTCACATCAAGTTTTGGATCAAGACCAAGGTCCAGGAGTGGATGAACAATCATAATTTTCCTTACAGATGGTAAACGCTACAAAGAAGAAGTCCTTGGTTCCCAGGTTGACCTAGACTAAAATGGGTACCAGGTAGTTTCCTATTGAGTAAATGTGGACAATTTTGCCAGGAAATTATCACCATCCAACTGCTAATTGGTCTATGAAACAGGAGCTTAGCATCACATGCTCCTATGCGCCATGACAAAAAAGGGTCTTTTATTTTTCTATAAATATATTTAAAATGTCATGATGAATCACTCACCTGAAAATTCAGAGTCGATGTCATTGGTACTTCAATCATCAAAGCATGGTTTGGATATAGTAAACAACCAATCAAAGACTCCTCTTCAAATGAGTCAATCAGAGTAAATGTTTTAGAACATGGGGTTAAACGAGGTGGATGATCTCCGTAAACATAGCGCACCAGCTGGGGATACCGATTGGTCGAGACAAGGTCCTCCGGAAGAACAGAGAGTCGCATACTCCCATTTGATGGAACTTCCACTTGTAGAAAGTCTCCTGCCTAAAATGAGATTTTATGGTACATAGAATAATCAATGAATATTTTGAGCATGACATGACTAGTGTTACCAGGGCTACCAATGATGGGTCCCCCCCCCCCCCTCCCCCAGATCAGGGATTTTATTTGATGGCTTGGGGAAATCTGTTTTGTTTTTTGTTTTTAATTATTATATCCTTATGGAAAAAATGTGGAAGTTATTTTGTTTCTCAACTATAAATTTTGTTCATTTTAACAATCTGGGTTTTTTTTCCTTCTTTGTCTATGCATTGCTTGGGTTTTTGTTCAGCTAAGCTGGGTTTTTCACAAAAATCCCATTGGCAGACCTGAGTGTTACTGTATTAACAGAATTAAACCATAAATACATGCGGAGGGCAAATGAAAACAATGTTACTAATAACTACTGCAGGGTTCGGCAATCTTTAAGCACTGCTATGCAGAAGTAGTGTTGCAAAGTCCCTCGGCAATCTAAACCAGCGTTCAACCCACCTGGACCACATGAAAAATACCGATCACACAAAGTGCCACCACTGTATGTCCGTCTCGCCTTTTTCTTGAGTGTTGAGTGTTAGCCAGATGATCCTCTGGTAAGTACTCACAGCGCCATCCTTCTCAGTCCAAAATGATCTTTCTCACAAAATCTAGCTTGTCATACATCAGTTCACCAGCAACTGGTGCAGAACTGGCCAGTTGACTGACTTTCTAACCCACCAGGACATCACACAAGCGATAAACACGTGATGACACAATGCAATGTGCCACCATGTGGATGAGGATCACTGTGGAGAGGTCCCAGAAACTGTGTTCACCTATTAGGCCATATTTATGGCCGGGCTATATTGCAGCCCCTGGCATGAGCCAGAGTAGGGCTTCAAAAAACAAAAAATTGCATCCTAAAAAGGAGTCAGGATTTTTATTTTATACCAGCCAGTTTATCTGGCTGCTCATTTCCTAAAACAAAAACATATAAAAAGATGTTTACCTGATCACAAGGTATAAATAAATCTTTGCCTTCCTCATTAGAACATCTAAGAAGAGTCACCTCCCTGGTCCTACTTTTGACTTTCGCTGTGCCTTTGGCTGTGCCTGACACCACAAAGACACTTCCTGCGGGATGCACCAGGCACTGAAACAACATTCACCAACATTATGTCATGACTGCATGAAAGGAAATAGCAGAGAATTACAAAACAAGGGAGACAAAAGAGAAAAAGACTGTCCAAAGAGTAGCATTTGAGTTCATGTTAAATATTCTAAATTCAGTAGTAGTTTTTAATCTGCTGTGACTTTCACAGATTTTATAGCTCTATGAAAGAACTCTTGCCATACACATCAGAAGAATCCCACCTTCACACTGGACTCAGGTTACATCATTACCTCTGGTAAAAAAACACACATAAAGTTGGGAGATGTGAACCAGTGTCACTGCACACGGTTATAAACCATAAGTGCTCTGCCACCAGTACAGACAGCTGATAAGAAACTGTCTGCCTATGTCGCCATCTGCACGTAACTCAGTAGCTACAGCGACATTCCTCCATTCACCTCAGAGTGTCAACTCTGGTACCCATTACCTAGAGGCTAGGTGAACCCCGGGAATTGCCTGGTTTCAAACACCGACAGTGGCTGCAGCAAGTCACAGCTTTATTTGAAAGCAAGCCTCCTATCGACTGCACTAACGCGGCTCTGGTGTGCTCCAATATCACTGTGCTCTACAGGTGAACGGTGTTTCTGTGATTAGTTTTTGTTTGTTGTTAAATACAAGTCATCCCCATGTGGGATGCAATTTTTTTGTTATTTGAAGCTCCACCCTGGTTTTTCCCTGGGGCCCTGAATAAAGCCGGGCCACAAATATGGCCTGACAGCTGAATGGGGTTTGTGGGACCTCTCCATAGGTGATCCTCATCTGCATGGTGGCACTTTGTGTCACTGGGCGTTTATCGCTTCTGTGATGATACAAGAGACAGACACAGAGAGAGTCTTGTTTGATTCTAATTCCTGGGGTGTTAATGTTACGGACAGGAAACCTGGAGAGCAGCAATGACCAACCATCAAATCCCTTTCCACAACATCACAATCCATATTAACAGTTCCTTTGTATCTGGGTCATTGATAGTTGTTATGTCTAGGGTCTTTCCCATGAACTAATAAAATCCTGCAATCAGATAACTATGTGTTCCTTTCTTTCTTTCTTTCTTTCTTTTTTCCTTTCTTGCTTTAAATTTTTTTTTTAAACAGTATATAACGAATCCATACCTTCTGTGGAACTATGTGGACTCTGTGTTTGTTGCTTGACTTGTTAACATGACCACTGACATGACTGCCACTGGTTTCTGATATATCACTGTTGATGTTGTCTGTGCTGCCTTTGTTTATGACAGTGTCAGTACAAGCAAACGACTTGACCGGCGCCAGATTAATGAAAGCTGGGATTGGGTTGTTGGCGATTTGCAGAAGTGAACACACAGCTGTCCTATCTTTGGTTGTTCGGGCCTGCAGGCTCAGGAAGTGACCTGTGGAGTTGAAAAACAGGATAATGTTACTGAGTTACATTTGAACTTCTAACGTAACAAAACAAAACAAAAAATAAGAAAAAGAAAACGAAGAAGAAAAAGATGATGATGCAGAAGAAGAGAAAGAGGAAGAGGGAGGGAAAATATAGAGGAAGAGTTGGAGGAGGAGAAGGAGAAAAAAAGAGAAAGAAGAAGAAGAAATGATGAATAAGACAAAGAGGAAGAGGAGACATAGAACAAAGAAGAAGAACACCAACAAGAACAAGAACAGATCAAGACGTGTGCTGGTCTCACCATCATAATCACTGGGTATCACAATGCTATCCTCAGTCTCCATCAAATGCTGTGTTCTAGCGTCACGACCGACATGTTTGGCCAACAGTTTCTTGGCTGTTCTTCCACTGCACAGCAACATGGGCACGTAGATATTGAAAGGCAGGAACTTGTCTTCTCCAGGCATCAGTCTGCTGGCACATCGTACAACCTGCAGTTGGCATTTTAAAATGATAATTACATTTTATATCATCTTAACAAAAGTGGTTGGATGCAAAGAATAGCAGCTAAGAGAATCAGTAATTCTTTAAGAACGCCCTAAAGAAATATTAAAACGTATAAAGCAAAGGAAGACGACATGCATCAAGAGCAGAAATCAAGATCAACTTTACACAGTACATTAAAAGGATTATCGAAATTAAGCAACTGCATAAAGACTGCAAAGAGTATAAAAGAGTAAAGATGTAAAACATGTAAGCACATTTCTGCTTGTCTTTGTTCTACTGATAAACATTAATAGCCGCAACAACCTGTTTCTTGTAAGTAGTTTTTGTAAAGCTGATTTATACGTTATGTTTTCCTTACTATTTTCTGTCTTTTTCATCTATATCTTTGCAATCTGTTTTATATGTTTGTTTTTTTTAATTAAAAAGATTAAAGACAATCCCCCCGACCCCCTCTCCCCCCCCCCCCCCCCAAAAAAAAAAACACTAGTGTATTTTGAAAAACAATCTAAATTGTGGTTCTCAACCTTTCTAATGCCGCGACCCTATAATATAGTTCTTCATGTTATGGCTACATTTTCGTTACTACTTCATAACTTCTGTGAATATGCGTTTTCCGAAGTTCGTTGGCGATCCCTGTGAAAAAAAGTCGTTCAACACACAAAAGTGTCGTGACCCATAGGTTGAGAAACACTGATATAAGGGGATTCTCAAGAACATTTAAGCATATATAGGGGCCTTTAAACTGCAACAGGTGAGCTTTTTGCAGAGGTAAATAAAGGGAACACATACAATGGATATCTTTACAGATGTGAAGGCAGTTCTTGAAACAATAAAGAATAAAACAACACACAAATAGCTGCTCTAAGAAGAGCATTCAGTGCAATATTTCAGTGACTCCCGGTAACACATAGGCAGCTGTTCAATTAATTTAACAAACAAAGATATGTAAATATATTCACAACTTATTAAGATGAGTAATGTGTTTTCCACATTCAATATCCGTTAATATCCTGCAGAAGTTTCAAGGACAGACAGAATACGAAATCACGAAATCAGACGAATGCTAGGAATAAAGCCAGTCTTACAGGTCATTAAAGAACAACAAATAAAGTGGTTTGGACACCTAACAAGAATGCCCTGGTACTGTCTGCCAAAGCGAGCCAACCTAAAACGTCACAACGGGTGAGTGAAAGACCTCACTCAGAAAATATGGAGTGATGGCATTAGGAACAGCCTTAAGGAACTGAACATCAGTCTTAATAGTGATTTTGACAGAGCTCATCAACGAACGTTACATCCCCCCCCCCCCCCCCCCCCCCCCCCCCCCCCGACATTTCGATGAGCTACAACAACGTGGAAGAGAAAAAGAAGTAGAAGAAGAAGAAGAAGAAGAAGAAGAAGAAGAAGAAGAAGAAGAAGAAGAAGAAGAAGAAGAAGAAGAAGAAGAAGAAGAAGAAGAAGAAGAAGAATATCCGTTAACTCAGCTTTCAATCAATGTGTTATTTTGTGTTTTAAACGTGGATAGTTATTTTAATTTTATAATTCACAAACTATCCCTTCTAGACACAATATATTCATCTGGATTATAAAGGTGCAATTTATAGCCTTAAAATGGGAATTAAAAAATAGTTAATTCTAATGACTAAATAATAGGTCACCTTTGTATCCCTTTAAAAATATTCAGCCGTTCTACAGGTTATAACCATGGTAAAAAGCAAACTGGAGTTGTACACCTGTTTGGGCAGTAATGTAGATAAAGATGGGGGAACTGACAGAAATAACAAAATGCGAATGCAAAAGACAAGATGAGCTTTATTGCATGAGGAAATTTATTGCGGTCAAAAGAAATTAAATCCAATACTAAACTGGACATTTTTAATTTTAATGTCAAATAAGTATTGCTGTATGGAACGGAAACATGGAGAACATCAAAGGCCAATATTAATAAACTAAAAACATTCATTAACAGATGCCTGCGCAGAAAAGAGGGAATTAAACGGCATTATAGAATCACTAAGGAAAAGCTTTATAGAGAGCTGAACAAGTTCCAGTGGACCAAGAGGTGAGGAAAAGACGCTGGCTTTAGACAGGACACACGCTGAGAAAACAAGAGAGCAATATAACTAGAATGTCTTTGCACTGGACCCAGAGGGGCATAGAAACAAAGGAAGAGGCGCGCGCGCACACACATACACACACATACACACATTCACACACGCAGAAGTGAGCTAGAGAATAAGGTTAAAAAGATAGGGAGGAATTGGGCACACCTGCATGCGATAGCAAAGGATAGAACCACTTGGCGTGAGCTGGTTAAAGGCCCATGCTCCATTGGAGGTTAAAAGGGCAGAAGAAAAAGACGGAAAAAAAAAAAAAAAAAACTAGCTCTCGTCAACAACATAATGTCTCGGAAACTTAAATATCTGGCGCGATTAAATGAAATCTGTCCAAACGGCCTTATTACAAACGTATGTAAAGTATATAAGCAGGCGTGAAACAACCGAACAAAACAACTTTTAGAAAGCAAATATTTAGAAGAAATCACAGCAGGCATTTTAAACTGGATCGGTCTGGGATCATAAGGGGATTACCATGTTGTCCGACACATGTGGATTCGAACCCATTGCCACTGTCCTGGCAGGCAGGCGTCATCTACTTCTCTACCATAGCTCCTGACAATAATCTACAAACTTCTAAACCTAACGACCATGTAGTGTGAACCCAGTTAGATTTCAACACCACTACATATTTTTTTTTTTTTTTCAAATCAAACTTCTGGGGTGTAAGACAACAATGCTCTGTAAACGGTAGAATAAAAGCATTTGTCTACTCAGGAGATAAACACGCGATCTGCGGCTTAATGCCAGAGCTATCAAATAAAGTCTATGTCCCGCGTTTAGATAATCTGCAGTGTCCTGTAAAATATACGCAGCTAAGTTTATGTAACCTATTTCTTGATTAAAATCGTTTGATTGTAAGACAGCAATGCTCTGTTAATGATAGAGTAATAACATGTGTCTACTTAGTTAGGAGATAAACATGCGTTTGGCAGCTCAATGCCAGAAATATCAAATAAAGTCTATGTTCCGCGTTTATACAAACTATCTGTAGTGTCCTGTAAAATATACGCAGCTAGGTTTATGGCACCTATTTCTTGATTGAAATCATTCGATTGTAAGACAGCAATGCTTTGTTAATAATACAATTATCGCATGTGTCTATTCAATTAGGGGATGAACGCTGGCGATCAACGTCTAAATGACAGAGCAATGAAATTAGTAAATACGACTGAATTCAAGAGCAAAAGAATTAAGTGTATGTCTCACTAAAGACAAACTTTGGTTCGAAACTCAAGTAAAGTACTCAAAGCGTAGCCCTGGGAGCGGAAAAGTGCGCGTGTTTTGATGTCGTTTTGTCTCCCGTTTATCTCAAACGAAGGTCTGGACATAATCAGTAGTTAAGTATACTTTTAAAAGGGGTTTGCGTTTCCCTGAGGCTGCATAATGGCATGGAGAAAGATTAGGGGCTAGTTAAATGTTTGATTGTGGCAGTTACTGCTGCTATGATTGCTAAGGAGATGGGGAAATGAAGGTGATTGTTAGGGTACAGTTGGCGTTGGGATGTTTTCACAACACTTGCTTGTCTAGCCTGCCTGCACGCAATCAGTCGCGCTTAGACGTCTATTGCTTGCTCAGTATAATCAGAGTTTACCTGAGATACATGCACGCATGGGGATTTAGTCAGACAGGCAGAAGAATGGAGGAGTAGACAGACAGACAGACAGACAGTTAGACAGACAGTTAGACAGACAGACAGTTAGACAGACAGACAGTTATACAGACAGACAGTTAGACAGACAGTTAGACAGACAGTTAGACAGACAGTTAGATAGATTAGATAGATAGATAGATAGATAGATAGATAGATAGATAGATAGATAGATAGATAGATAGATAGATAGATAGATAGATAGATAGATAGATAGATAGATAGATAGATAGATAGATAGATAGATAGATAGATAGATGGATGGATGGATGGATGGATGGATGGATGGATGGATGGATGGATGGATGGATGGATGGATGGATGGATGGATGGATGGATGGATGGATGGATGGATGGATGGATGGATGGATGGATGGATGGATGGATGGATGGATGGATGGATGGATGGATGGATGGATGGATAGATAGATAGATAGATAGATAGATAGATAGATAGATAGATAGATAGATAGATAGATAGATAGATAGATAGATAGATAGATAGATAGATAGATAGATAGATAGATAGATAGATAGATAGATAGATAGATAGATAGATAGATAGATAGATAGATAGATAGATAGATAGATAGATAGATAGATAGATAGATAGATAGATAGATAGATAGATAGATAGATAGATAGATAGATAGATAGATAGATAGATAGATAGATAGATAGATAGATAGATAGATAGATAGATAGATAGATAGATAGATAGATAGATAGATAGATAGATAGATAGATAGATAGATAGATAGATAGATAGATAGATAGATAGATAGATAGATAGATAGATAGATAGATAGATAGATAGATAGAACACACTTTATTTTCAATGCGTTAGGTATTGGGTACGCAGGCCCATCTAACATTTTGCCCTTCCAGTTCACTTCTTGCACACAGTTATTCATTCGTTCACCATTTTCATAGTTATGAAAATATGTTCACAATATCTAAGTCTTAATTACAAACACTGGAATGTGCTCTAATTATGCTTTCATTACTGAACTTTTTAGAAAGTACAGTAGCAAACCTAATTTAACAATGTTGAAAGTCTAACGGGTTGTATGATATAAAAATCATTGAGGAGTTAGTTTAACACTAGTCATTGTAAGTGAGGAAACATGTTTTTCTAGGAGGCTGCGTGGTCTCGAGGCATGGTGTTCGCCTCGAGTGCTAGAGGTTTTGGGTTCAATTCCCGGTAAGGACTGGGATTTTTTTCACGTAGACTTGGACTTCTAGCAATTCCCCCTGGTCTCTGGGTAGTGAGATCGGACGCCCGTGTGCATTGTTGCGCGCAGTTGGAAATCGAAAAGAGTAGCCTAAAAAAGCTGGTCGGACCAAATGTTGAGTTAAAAATCTACCCAAAGTATTTTAGGAACCTCGCCGGTGCTACACATGCTCTGCACTATCCTGAGCTTCTTCGGATTCAGACTTGAATTAGAAGAAGAACAGAGCATTTATGAGTTACACCCGTGTGCCATTCTGTTGATCCATTGTTCAAAACCTCAAAACCTTAGGTTTGTCTACAACTGACCTGAGGGAGATGAAACATGCTGACGATGTCCTGCAGGAAGTAAGATTCGTGTGACCAGTCAGCTGCCTGGTTGACCGGGTTGTTCATCACCAAGGGCGACAGGCGTGAGCTGTCAGATTTGGCTGGCCCCTGCTTTCCTTTTTGTGGCCGATCATGGACTTGTCCTCGCCTCATTTTGTTAGAATAATTAAATATGACTTGACTTCAGCGATCTGTCGAAAAGAGAGACATAAATTCGTTATTCTGAAGTAAAATATGCATAAATACATTACACATTATGAAAAACCTTTTTCACTTCATTGGAAGATCACTTTTTTGGTGTGAAGACCCATATTTCAAAAGATAATGGATGCGTGGTAATTTTAACATCACGTTGGAATCCTTGATTGCTGCCCAGTTGGTCTCTGTACAATGAAGGCCTAACACTGATGTTTCTGATATCCTCAAGGGCGTGAAAAGGCTCCTTTAAACAAACCATACGCACATAGAAAATAGTCTGCATAAAAAATAGCAATGATCCCAATCCAGAAACACTAGGCTTATATATATATATATATATATATATATATATATATATATATATATATATATATATATATATATATATATATATATATATATATATATATAGCAAAGCATTGAACTGAACTTCCCACTTTACATTGGATTCATAGACCATGAAATAGCATTTGACAACATTGATAGGGAATCTCTCTGGGAACTGATGGGGCACTATAAAATCCCACATAAAATTATTAACTTTGTAAAGGCATGAAATGTCTTCATGAAGGAAAGCTAACAGATACGTTTGAAATAAAAACAGCTGTGCGACAGGGATGGCGTTTGTCTCCTCTCCTATTTTCACTGGCTATAGACTGGATTATGAAGATAGTAACATCTAACAGTAAGAATGGAATTCAGTGGACCCCTACAAAACAACTTCAGCATCTGGACTTCGATGATGATATTTCTCTTTTATCTGATTCACGGAATGAGATGTAAGATAAATTAAATATATTTGATGCGATGTCACAGTAGTTAGGTCTGAAAATCCTTTAAGGAAAGACAAAGATAAATAGATTAAATCAGACAAATAGTTATGTGGTTTCTCTCAATGGCACCCCACTCCAAGACGTGGAGTCGTACACCTATTTGGTCAGTAATATAGATAAAGATGGAAGAATTGATAGAGATATTAAAATAACAATACAAAAGGCAAGAGAAGCTTTCACAGCACCATGGAATTTTTGGAGGTCAAAATAAATTAAAATAAATGCTAAACTTATAATTTTTAATTCTAATGTCAAATCAGCACTTTTGTATGGGGTGGAAACATGGAGAACAACTAAGGCAATTACTAATAAACTACAGACATTCATTAACTGGTGCCTGCGCAGAATATAGGGAATTACAATGGTATGAAAGAATCACTGAGGCTTTGGGAGAGAACTAAGCAAGCTCCAGAGGTCCAAGAGGTGAAGAAAGGACGCTGGCGTTGGATAGGACACACATTGAGAGAACGGGAGAACAATATTACTAGAATGTCTTTGCATTAAAACACACAGGGGCATAGGAATAAAGAAAGGCCAAAAAACACATGGAGACGGGAGCTGGAGAATGAATTTACAAAAATTAGGAGAACATGGGAAGAGCTGCATGCAATGGCAAAGTATAGAACTACTTCCCGTAAGTTGGTTGGGGGCCTATGCTTCATTGGGGGCTAGAAATGAAGAAGAAGAAGAAGAAGAAGAAGAAGAAGAAGAAGAAGAAGAAGAAGAAGAAGAAGAAGAAGAAGAAGAAGAAGAAGAGAGCGCTTCAACTCTACATTTGGGGGACTCAAGTGGAAAGTGTAACTGAGCACAAAGCACTGGGGTTAGTCACGGATGCAAATCTAATCTTCTACTCTCATGTTCAAGCACTTGTGAAACGAACAGCTAAAAAGGTTTACCAACTTGCAAAAATTAAAAACTTTCTTGATGAAAACACAAGAAAGATATGCTATACGTCTACATCCAGACATGTATAGAATATTGCTCTACAGTATTGGATTACTGTTCTAATTCTGTTATCAAGCGACCCACATCACTGAGCGCCATTTGCTCAAAAGTAACAATCATGGGACAGTGAGTTCAGAAACATATAAAGGCCTTATGCTTCTACAGCTTACTGAACGTCTACTTTTCATAACGCCACATTTATTCACAACATATTATTCCAGAAGGCTCCATGTAACTTATGACCGTTGTTTAAATATAATGGAAGGCATAGTAAACGCCTAAAAATATTACACATCCCTAAACCTAAGACAGACCTATACAAAACACGTTTGGCTTACTCCACAGCTATATCGTGGAAATATCTTAAACAACACGTCAAAAATGCTACTAGGCCGTATGCATGCATTCGGAAACTGTTCGAATATTATCTGAGCATAGATTATATGTCCCCATAGAAGATTTAAAACATATTTTAGAAATAGCGCACACTTTCCCTATACGTATAACAACGACTACTGTTTACTGTAGTTAGACATGCTCACATTCCAATGCTTGTACTGAATATGTTGATGCTATTAACACTGTTTACAGTTACTTGATGTATGAATGAAATGATGTAAGAACGGAGGGAGACCTCCAAGGGCAGTAAGTTAGACGCGCCTGCGTGCCCAGTTCTTAACCCTTTAAAAATAAAATGTGTTTGTTCGTTCGTTCGTGCTACCTACCTACCTACCTACCTACCTACCTACCTACCTACCTACCTACCTACCTACTTACCTACCTCCCTATATACCCATCTATACACCCCCTCTCCCATCTTTCCACCCACCCAGCCATTCACTCAGACATCTATCAACCAATCAATCAATCAATCAATCAATCAATCAATCAATCAATCAATCAATCAATCAATCAATCAATCTATCTATCTATCTATCTATCTATCTATCTATCTATCTATCTATCTATCTATCTATCTATCTATCTATCTATCTATCTATCTATCTATCTATCTATCTATCTATCTATCTATCTATCTATCTATCTATCTATCTATCTATCTATCTATCTATCTATCTATCTATCTATCTATTTATCTATCTATCTATCTAGCTATCTATCTATCCATCCATCTATCCATCCATCCATCCATCCATCTATCTATCTATCTATCCATCCATCTATCTATCTATCTATCTATCTATCTATCTATCTATCTATCTATCTATCTATCTATCTATCTATCTATCTATCTATCTATCTATCTATCTATCTATCTATCTATCTATCTATCTATCTATCTATCTATCTATCTATCTATCTATCTATCTATCTATCTATCTATCTATCTATCTATCTATCTATCTATCTATCTATCTATCTATCTATCTATCTATCTATCTATCTATCTATCTATCTATCTATCTATCTATCTATCTATCTATCTATCTATCTATCTATCTATCTATCTATCTATCTATCTATCTATCTATCTATCTATCTATCTATCTATCTATCTATCTATCTATCTATCTATCTATCTATCTATCTATCTATCTATCTATCTATCTATCTATCTATCTATCTATCTATCTATCTATCTATCTATCTATCTATCTATCTATCTATCTATCTATCTATCTATCTATCTATCTATCTATCTATCTGTCTATCTGTTTGTCCGTCCGTCTGTCTGTCTGTCTGCGTGTCTGTCTGTCTGTCTGTCTGGGGGAAGAGAAAGAGCAGAATGATAGCTGGGCCTGCGTGCCCAATTCTTAACCCTTTAAAAATAAAGTTCGTTCCTTCGTTCTAACACAACAGACGCATAACAAGAGAACCTGTTATTATCTGCATGACAAATTTCCAAGTCTGAATGGCCACGGCTGGTTATTGATATTCCGATATGGTGGCTTTCAAAGGATACCAAGCCATGCGGAACTCGACTGTAATTGAAAACAGGCACAATGCGGACGTAACTAGGGCGGTAATGAGGCAGTAATAATTAAACTATGCTAGTTTATTTTTTCTTAAATTTCTGCTGCTTGAACTTTGGTCTATCAGGATGTATCAGCACTTCCTGGTCAAATTTCTTGGTAACTTGAGTGTTGGGAATATTTATACTCTAGCGATATTGCGTTTCGATAACGAGACTGACACTTTATCTGTATATCCGCCGTATTGAAATTTGAAAAAGATATCAACTGCTCCTGTGGTGGCATTAAGTCGTGGTTAGGCTTTAAGCTGGTTAAGCTGTGTAACCCTTGAACTGTCTATGTTGAGAAGTAAACATACACCAGGTTTCAGGACGTTTGAAAACAGTAAAGTAAAGTAAAGATCCCTTATTACGCCTAAGGCGCATAGGGTATATGGGCAGAGCGTCCCATATTTTTACCGACCAATCGGCACTGGATGGGTAATGTGGTGAGCATTACGCCGACCGTCTTTACTTCCCCAGGACAGCCATCCTGGTACTCATTTTAGGCTGGGCCGACCTGCGACGCCCCATACTATGATAAAAATCCACGCAGCTAGCAGTGGGTTTCGATCGCGGTACGTTGGATTACGAGTCGTTTTAAAACATAACAACTACCAACTCATGCGCTACACACAAAAAGGCTGACGTGAAATCAAGATGGCACCTAATGGAAAATATGGACTGTTGACATTAAAGGCGTTCTGCATCCACATGGAATGACAATAGCCAGTGCTCCCAACGATCAATCGACGTAAAATTGTCTTGCCCCAAGGAATTTCATAAGGTTGTTGATAATGATAATTACAGGTTGGGGGCTGAGTGGTCTCGAGGTATCGTGTTCACTTCAAATGCTAAAGGCCCCGAGTTCAAACCCGTGGTGAAGGCTAGGATTTTTGCACTTGGAATTCTGGTAATTTCCGCTGATCTCTGGGTAGTAAGATCGGATACCCGTGTGTATTCTTGTGCACTTACAAAATTAGTCCTTTTCCTTCTCTTCCACTTTGTACCTTAGGGAGGTGTCGGGGGTACCGATTATAAACAGCATATTCATTCCACCTTTACGCCACCAGTACCAAACATGGATACTATCTAAAGCCCGTATACGCAAAATCACCACCTGCGAGGCGAGATGCCTGAGAAAAGCAGCCAACCTAACCATTCAAGATTGAACGAATAATTATATTATCAGACAAATTGTTGGA